TAAGTTAATGAAAAAAATGTAAAAGTAAGGATAAATTTGTCACTTTATTCTTATCTACATACCTAAAATAGAAAGTGGAAAATCATTTTGGGACAACCAAAATAGGAAATTTTGCAAATCAAATTGGGACAGAGGGAATATGTTTCTATTTCTTATCCCCCCCCCCCCCATTTTTCTGTTCTTTCGTGTCTTGCACAATACTCTGTATAAACTAATACTATGTCATACGTAGTTCCCAAATCCCAACCTCTGGCTCTAGCTGGCTTTCATTCTCTGGTCCTTTTTTGTTTTTTCTTTTCTTTTTTGTTTTTCACAACAATGTGCAAAGTTCACTTCCTTTTTTAACTTTGGTTCTATTATTTACTCACTCCTATTTTTTGTTTGCTAAACTTTTTAGGAAGTATTTTTTATTTATTACGCTTTCTCTTTTCGATAAATTTTTCTTTTAAAAAAATTTGTCTACTTTTCATTTTTTTGTTTTATTTTGTCTACTCTACATATTTTTTTTGCAAGATGCGGAAGTTGTTGTTGAAACCCCCCTAGGTGATTTTTTTTCATAAAAACAATTTGTTTCGTTAAATGTTTAATTGAAGAAAATGATTCATAAAATTATGATCACTTTTAGATGTGATCGGCAAGGTAGATTCGATGTCAAACCCTAAGGCCCTAACAAAGAATGGTAGGCAAACTCAGTTGGTTGATCTCACCCTCGGTGATTCTCAGTGTGTATTTCTAACTTAAAATTCACAACGCTTTAATTTTCAAAAGTGAAACACATATTATATTTTGTAGTGGAAATACTATCTCCTCCACTCTATGGGATAACTTGGTAGATTAGTTGGTAGATTTTCTGAAGACAAATCCTAAGCCTATCTTTCTTATTCTTCAACTATGACGTGCAAGAAAATTATAGGGTATGTTTCAAAACTAAATATGATTTTCAGCTTGCTTATTTGTGCTTAACAGTGTATAATTTTTAGGTCATGTAGGTGTGACAAACATGTTCAATGTGACGAAGATGTTGCTGAATAGTGACAATGAGGGGTGTGTGGAGTTCAAAGCCACGGAAGGAATTCTCAAATAGTTTCAACCAGAATTGATCGATTGTAGTTTAATCAACTCTTTACATAAATGACATAGGTTCAGATCAAATAATCATGATGATGGGGACGGACTAGCCTTAGGTAGTTTTGTGACTCCTACATTCCAAGATGATCTAGCAAGCGATAAAGTCAAGTTGATTTCGGTTAATGATCTAATGAAAATGAAAGAGGTTGTGATATAACATTTGCCATGTATTATAAAGTTTTGCATGTTATTTAATTTATACAAACTGGTTGCAGATTTACTATGTACTTATAATTATAGGATGGTAAACATTGGGTCTACGGAGAGATTTTGGCAATGGACAGTTATCGAGACTGGTACTATATTTCTGATGTGGAGTGTGCAACACAACAGAAGTTGTTCTAAGGTTATAAACATTTTCCCAGTGAGTTCTTTAAACTAGCAGCCACCAAACATAATACTAATGTTTTGGAAAATTTGAGGTACAAAGTGAATGTTAGGGTGATCGATGACACAAGTCATGCTTCTTTTGTGTTTTGGGACAAAGAATGCACTACTTTGGTGGTAAAGACAACAAATACTCTTCGCAAAGAGATTGAAAAGATTTTCTGGAAGATACATTCAGTATTTTATGCTTACAGGTAATGAATCGACAAAGTTTAATATGTTTGAGTTTGTAGAATATACAGAAAGGTGTTGGACCTTACTATTTTCCAATTGAGATTGATGGTTTGGTTAAGATTAAGAAGCTACAGGGGTGTGCCAATATTTAGTGTAATTGGGATGAATTGTGATCCACTGAACCTACCGTTCTGTCTTTATATAAGTATAAAGGAAACGCAGTGGAGGAAGATGATGATTTTACACTTCACAAAAAGGAGTTTTCTGTGCCTAAGAAGTATGTGTACTAAGTTCTTATCAGTTTGCTTTGAAGTAAAACTTTGTTATTTTATATTTGATATATTTAGTATTTAATAATTAATACTTAACTTATAAATTTTCTGTGTCTAAAGCCTTTCAAACTTATTTGAGGTCATCACACTCAATGAGGAGGAGACAAGCCCATGATGACAAAAGAAAAAAGGAAAGCAGTTGTGGTAAACTATGATGGCATCAAAAGGAAGCTATTTGTTGAGCCCCCACCTGTCCAGGCAGTGAAGAAGTTGAAGAAAGTGAAAGTGGAAAAGGAGTAGCAATGTGAGAAAAGTCACTAAGTTTTTGTTAAACTGCACTACAATATATATGCATCAGTTTCTTATGTTTTTTTGTGCATGGACCACTAAAAACATCTTTTGTGGCGTGGAATATCTTAGGGAAAAGATCATGTTATAGTACAAACTTTTGATGTGGAGTAGACTTTTGATGAATAACAACTTATAAGCAGTCCTTGTTGTCTTCAAATTCATATAGTTGTCTTGACCCAAGAAATTTCTTATTGCATAAATTTTTCCTTCCTTAAACAGGGACTTGAACTTTGCAACCTGGATTTCCCAATGTGTGCGTGTATTTTTGTTCCCTATGTAGACAGTTGTTAGTTCATACAATCATTACATCTTTTGGAAATCAAACTGGAAAGTTAAAAACTACCTCGGAGTCATGAAAAATGCACCGTGAAGGATTCACCATGAATCCCATAGGCTAGGATTGCACAAACCCGAACAACACTGGTTTTGAACGTCCAAATAGTATTTCCTTGATCAAACTCGTCTATTAAAGACCACATGCCAACCATTTTGGGAAAGAATTTTTTTTGGAGGGAACTTAAGGAAGAGATGGTAAAAAGTGATGGTTAGAATGACTATTTATAGGAATACTAGATGCATTGTCTTATTCACAATGTATACACACATACATTTATGTGTATTCATATTCTATAAAATGGCCACAATGAGCTGTCAAACACTCGGGAAATAGGATTAATAATAGGAGTAATAATATCAATCCAACAGGGAGTGTCTATCTATCCATGTTAAATAGCATTTTATCATTTTATTAGTGTAATATAATATTTAACTAAATAGGGTACAAATTGTAATGATATCAAATTGGTGTTATTTCGGAAAAGGAGTATGCCAAGCCACCAAAACAGATGGAGATGTCTTTTCTATCATTGTATTTTCAGCTACCTCAAGTAAGGCTCCGCATATGTTCCCAATCTGGAATCTTATAATTTTCACACTTTCAACACGACTCTCCCAACATGTGGCTCGTAATGATTTAAGAGTAAGCTCCTTTACCTTATCTTTCAAAATTCATTTAATTGAATTCGCAAATATTCTCTAAATGCCCAGAAGAGTCCAAATAAGTTTTTAGCCTCACCACAAATGTTAGAGTGTTTGCGATTACTTCCACATTAAAAAAGTGATTTCTTAAAGTGATTTTGGAAAAAAGTGTTTCATAATAAAAGTTGGTAGTGTTTGAGAAAACAATGTTTTAGAAAAAAGAAAAAATTGATAGTGTTTGATAAAATAAGTATTTTTTGTGTAATAGAAAAGTGAAAAACAGTTTAAAGCACCTCTCGTCTATATTAAGGTCTAAATTCTTTAGTACATCTTGCCGATCACCAAGAAGTGTTTGGCCAATTGTACCATCAACATCTAACAATCCTATAAATGATTCTTCAATGCTAACCATATTTGAAAAGACATCGACATATCTTAATAGTATCACATACACTTGTTCTTGCGGCAGGGATACTCTCTAAAGTACAATCATTTTCAGAAGACGTTCCAAAGTTCATATACACTTTTGTAGCCCCCCCGCCTATTGCGAGTATAGTAGTGCAACGCCTTCACCACGTGGAGCCATCTGGTGATTCAAGAGGAGTTCGAATGCCTTGCTTTTGATGGAGTAGTAGCCTGGACTGTAAGGATTCTCTCGTTTCGTCACAAGTTTAAGAGGTGTGCCGTAAATACAGCCAAAATTTTCCGCGAATCAACAATGTAGCCGGTCAACAAGTACAAATGCCAGCGATTCGACTAGAACTATGGAAGCACGATATGATCAATTAACGTTGGAGGGAGCAGTGAACGAACAACGGAAGATCAAGCTATGGGAAGAGCCAGCGGTAGAAGATCAAGATGGAGAAGGAATGGATCTATATGATCCAAAAACGCGATGGAGGCGAGTATTGGATATCAAACCTGCCTCGGTCTATGAATGATCTCTATCTCTCACGTTGCGGATTCAATCTACTCTTGATTCCGGGGTAGTTCTGTTTTTATTTCTGTTGTTATGTTTTAGCGTTTGTTTTTATTTTCGAACTAGATTTTCCTTTGGTTGTATTCTCAGTAGAGTTTGTCAATACTTTGCAGATTATGATGAATGATGAGAGGTTTTGACCATGTTTGACTCATTGGTCATTTTAGGATCAACGAGTTATATTGTTTTGACCATCTTTGACTCATTGGTCAATTTAGGATCAATGCGTTATATTGATTTATGAAATGTGATTAACTCTAAGTTTGATTCGAGGATTGATGATCGGGAGGTGACTTATTGTCGTATTGTAAGTTGAATGAATTTTGGTATTTTAATATAAGACATTTACATTTAAAATAAGAAACTAAAAAGTGATTGTCTTATTTTTTCATTCTTTCTTTGTATATCTTTATAAAGCATAAAAAAGTAACACATAACAATATCAAAACGGCCCTTAGGAGTGGTCTCAATGATAGACTAGTTAGAATAGATCAAAATTAATGGAACAGAGTTTGACATTTAAAATACACATAGATCATATATTTACCAAATATGTTTATATCACATTAAATAAAATAAAAAAATTCTAGTCTAATGAAAATCATGGATATTTCATTTTATGAATTTATTATTATTTTATTTACAGCAAGTCAGCAATTTAAACCCTTTTTTTTGTTCGGCCCATACAAAGCCCACAACACTACCACTATAATTTCACCGCCTTGTAGCAGAAACCCTAGGGAGCCCTGTTATACTCATATCTAAAGGCTGAAGGTTCCGTTCCGTGAAGAAGTCCCATTTGCTGCAGACGGAAGATCCGCGAAGAAGTTCCAATGGGGAGAAGTGAGTTTCGTTTTTCTTTCATTTATCATACATCAATGAATTTGAGTTTATATTGGAAAGTCATTGGAAATAATGGAAGTGTATCTATTTGATTTGATATAGTTTATTACTCCGTAGTAAATTCTGAGAAGTTTGTATTTTTTTGCTTAGTATTGATGATGGATTCCGACTTGTTTTTTTCTTCTCAATTTTATTAACCCCTGTTCGTCAATCCCGACCAAGAAGACCGCTGCAGTTGGCTTGTAACCTCATTCAGCTATGTTTACAGTATATTTGCCGATTCTATTGAAACTAATGTGAAAGTTTAGAAATGTTGATGGTATTTATTTATTCTTTTATTCATTTATTCATTTATTTATTTAGTTTTGACTCGTGTAAGCGCACCATGACTACAGCAATTTACGAGAAGTGTTCGTCTATGTTGCACGGAAACCTGAAAATCATAAGTAAACAGGAAACGTGAAACATCAACTTTTGCTCAAAAAATGCTTATTTGGAGATTTTCCAAAGAGTTTCCGAGAGTTTCCGAAACGGGAAACGTACTCTTTCCCAAGAGTTTCCGTGCTACATAGGTGTTCGTTCAGAAGAAGTCATTCATTAGCCATATTGCAACTTATAGAATGCCAAAACTAAATAACATTCCCTTGAATCTCACAGTTACAAAGTCATCGGACACAACATAAAAAACTGCGGAACAGAACAAAAACTCTATAGTTGGCTACTTTTGTTACGCTTTGCTGTCAATGCTCATGGGTTTTACCTCCTTCACCGCAGCTTTTGTTGCGTTCAGCTCATCAAACATGTTTCTGTTGAACTTTGCATCCTTCTTGTTGAACTCTTCTACTTTCTCCTTCAACACGTAGTATTCCATTTTCACATCCCTATTGTCAGGTTAAATTTGAAGATCCTTCATATGCCCTTGTGCCTTCCTGTGGAGTGCTTTGACATTAGTAGTCTCTAGTTCAAGAATCTTAGTACACAGTTTAATTACCTCTCTGTAATCTTTCAATTTGAATTTCCAGACTGCTCTTCAAATTGCATGATATTTTCATAGCCTTGGTTTGCTTTTTCTCGTCACTATAGCTATTGTCATACTTGACAAACTTACCTGCCTTCTCGGTGACTTGAAAAGAGTGTTTCCTTCTTCCTTCTTTCTGAAAGCAGCTTCAAATTTCTCATTACTTTTCATATCCCAGGATTCCTTTTCTTTAACAAAAGATACATGGTTTACTCCATAACACACAGTGGACTTGGGAGGGACCACTGCCTTTTGCAACCCATCGGTGACTTGCTCCTCATGGGAGGGACATAACTGGAGCAATGATCAGCAATGCAACTTTTCCCTTCTTCATAGTCATTACAGCTTTGTCCAACCCATCTCTGACTTGCTCCTCATCGGTCTTGAACTCAAATAGCTGATCATCACTATCAGCATCATGACTATTCTTGATAAAGACGGTTCCATCCTGCATCTTTCGGATCAAATTCAATTTTACAATGGTTCCTTCATTTGGGCGCTCGTATCCATCCCCTTTCTTCAACATCTTTCACAACTTTCTCATCATCAGTAACATATGTAACTGTCTTCCATGGAACAAGCAATAAACAATTAGCAGCATTGCATTAGCTGGAACAGCACCCTCAATATCTGATGCTTCTTTCCCTTTTCACCAAAACCATATTGAGGCTTCACTGTGAGCTGCACCTTCTCTCCCTTCTTCATGGTCTTAACAGCTCTAGAAAGAGCAGGGCAAAAATGTCTTTCCCCAACAGTGAACTCTACTCCATTTGCTTAATACTCTTGTTCGTCATTGCCTGGCATTTACTGCATTCAGCTATATTGCTCACAGCAAGGTTTGAAATTGCGTATTGCCTAGTTGTGACGTTTTTGTATTATTGCATATATTGCGTAAGCCTCATTGCGCAATGAGTTGTAGAACTGAGGCGTAAATTTATATATATGTGTGTAGGTATTTATCAACACAATTAATAATAAATAACATTATAAAAATAAATTAAATCATAGTAAAATTCAAACCATAGATGACTACCCAAAAAAATCTGCAGAAAAAACATACTAATATGCAGAAACTTAACAGATGGAAAATAAGAAAATATTAATATGCAGAAAACATTAAAAGTTGAAAAGTATTAACATTATTATTACTACTAAATTATATATAACACTAAATATTAAATTAATATTAAAGTTGAATTTAATATTAAATATAAAATCTGAATGAAAATGCCATTATACAAAAACAAAACCAATGCAAAATAATAAAATATTAATATGAAGAAAATATTAAAAGTTGAAGAATATTAACATAAGAAGAAGCGGAGGAGGCTCTACATTGGAAAGAGGCACTGTACCGTTAAAATATTAATGGTTGAAGCAAATAAAAAGAGCTTTAGAGGCGATAGGACCATAGACAAGGAGGCTATAGTTGCTGAGAAGAAGCAGGATGAAGAACGAAAGAATGAAAAAATATGTACATGTATATGTTACGAATAACGGAGCCTAGTGTTAAGTCTTTTATTAATACTGGCAGCAGACCTAATATAGCGTACGCCTCTAGATGCCTCATTGCGCAGGTGAAATCGCGTACGCCTCTGCACCCTGGAACGTACGCCCCAAACCCATCCGCCTTATGCAATGCAATGTTACACAATTTTCTTGGAAGTATTTGAGGCGCACAATAAGGCACAATTGCAAACGACGGCTCACAGTATATTTGCATATACTAATGAAACTAATCTGAAAGTTTAGGAAATGTTCATTTATGATATATATTGAAAGTAGAAACAAGAATTGATAGCTCTTGTATGGCAAAACCATTGTAATGATATTTTTTGTGCAAACTCTTTCAGGGCCAGCAAGGTGTTACCGCCAGATTAAAAACAAGCCATACCCAAAGTCAAGGTACTGCCGTGGTGTGCCTGACCCAAAGATTAGGATATATGATGTGGGAATGAAGAAAAAGGGAGTGGATGAGTTCCCCTTCTGCGTACATTTGGTCAGTTGGGAGAAGGAGAACGTCTCGAGTGAGGCCCTTGAAGCTGCCCGAATTGCTTGCAACAAGTACATGACCAAGTTTGCAGGAAAAGATGCCTTTCACCTTAGGGTTAGGGTTCACCCTTTCCATGTCCTTCGTATTAATAAGATGTTATCGTGTGCTGGGGCTGATAGGCTCCAAACGGGAATGAGGGGGGCGTTTGGCAAGCCACAGGGTGTCTGTGCCCGTGTTGCCATTGGACAGGTTCTTCTTTCCGTTCGCTGCAAGGATTCCAACAGTCAAAATGCACAAGAGGCTTTGCGCCGTGCCAAGTTTAAGTTCCCTGGTCGCCAAAAGATCATTGTTAGCCGAAAATGGTATGCCTTCTTGCATTTGCCTGTTAATATAATATTGATTGATCACTTCAGATCCATGGTCACTCTAAAGCAGCCTGGTTTGAAAAGCTTTTGTTTTTGTGCAAACTAAAAGTCTCCTCTGAACAAACAAATCTGTTTGAGCCTTTTCGAAAAAGGAGTTGCGGACAATTTTTATATGGATAATTATGTTAGACCACAGCAATCTATTAAAATACATGCAAGGCCCATGGTTTTTGAGGCTGTCTTGCTGAAATGTAAAAGATGTAATTAGGCCAAACTCCAAGGCACATGCTTATAGAAAATGCTGTAATGTTTCTAAGACAATTCTTTGAAGTGTCCATCATACTACATATGAAGCAGTCAGTGGTTTGTGATTGATTATAACTGCCATCTAAATAAACAATTATAGGCCTCTATTAGTATTGGAGTGTAAATCCTGAATCTAGAATCGTGTTTAATAATTAAATCATGAAAATTCTAATCGCTCGTCTTTTTTCCTCTTACTTTTTAGGGGTTTCACAAAGTTCAACCGTACTGATTATTTGAACTACAAGAAGGAAGGCCGCATCATGTCTGATGGTGTCAATGCTAAGGTTTAATCATATTCCTTTGTTGTGCTAAACTATCTTTTTATTCAAATTTCATGTTTATGAGAAGTAACTTTGCACTTTTTTTTTGTGTTTTATAGCTTTTGGGATGTCACGGACCTCTTGCAAAACGCCAGCCTGGAAAAGCATTTATCGATGCAGCAGCTTAATCATTTTGTTTTGTTTCACAAGACTCTTGAGCAAAAGTCTATCCCTATGGCACGCTATGATTTTATTTCATTCGAGCAAATATATCAAGACATTACTTTATGAATTTATGTCTTTAGTGGGTTGGTGTTGGTTTCACAGTATTGAAGACTTTGATGCGTTTGCTAGTTATCATATTTCAATGGTCGTCTTCTTGCCTTTGCCTTGTATATTATATATTACTACCATTATTGTTGGAATATCTATACTGGAACTAATATGCAATCATTTATAATGCAAGATGGAAATTTTGATTTCTTACGCTGAGTTGCGTTATAATAATAAAAATGAACTTTTGATTTCGTGCGCTGAGTTGCGTTATAATAATAAAAAGTAATGTTGAAGTTACTTTTGTTGAAGTTACTTTTGTTGAAGTTAATTTTTATGTTTTTCCTTTATTTTATTAATAAAATGTATTTTGAATATAATTTTTTCATAAATTTGCAGAATTAATCAATTTAGTCTTCATTTGGAATTTCAGAAATTTTAACAGAATAAGTTTATTCAGTCAATTTTAGTGTTACCAAATGATCTTGTAGTCTCTATATCTTCCCCTTAAAAAGATATAAAACTAAATAGTGAATCTTTTTAAAATTATTAATAGGTATCTGTATTCTCGCTTTTATTCAAGTCTTTTTAACTTACCTAATTATTTCATTTAAAAACTACGTATAGAATTCTACTCCTTTTAATCAAGTCCTTTAAAACTTTGCCTCTTTCCATTTTGGGACGTCCCAAAAAACATTGCCAGTTTCCCTTTTAATCAATTATTTTGTGGTTTCTGTTATTTCTCTCTCCTCTGCACAAACCTCAACCACACAGTTTTTACTTTATTATTCTCTGTGCCGGTCAACTTTGGCAAAATTTTAAGGGACGGAGGTAGTATTTGTTTTACTTTGTGTTTAAGTTCCCCTTTTCATGTTGTAATTTGTCTAAGGTATACTTTTCAAGTTCACACTCCACATGCTCCCCGTTTATCTTGCAAATGTAGGCATAACTACACTTGCCTAGCTGTAGTCGGAAACTGCCATAAAAAATCACCGTAAGAAACTGTTACCAGAAGTTTTTGAAGTTTTTTTCCCATTTTTTTTAAGTTTTTGTTTTGAAAAATTGTTGAAAGAACTGGAAAATTTTCTGATGCTTGTAGTAATTTAGAAGTAGGTGTGGCCCAAGGCATGGAATCGGAACTGGTCCGGTATCACCCGGTTTTGTACCGGGACTGGAAATAAGGTTCTGGTTTGGGATCGGAATCGGGCAAGTGGTAAAGAGGTCTTGGTCTCGGGTTTCTTTTTCTTGAGATCGGGCTGGATCGGTTTTGATTATTTTTTTTGCTATTAAACCATTGGAAAATATTTTGTAAGGGTTGATGGTCCATATAAAAGCTCAAAATAGGTGTAGACGGGATGGGGAGGGTTTAAAAGAATAAAAAACAAGGCATCGGGCCAGAACCGGGACTGCACCAGGATCTGGTGGGGATCGGAATCGGCCGGGAAGAGAAAATACACGTCTCAATCCTCTATATAATTTTCCAAAGACTGGTCAGTCCGAGAGTGAAACCCGCCCAGATTAGGATCAAGTCCACCCCTACATAAAAGTAATACTCCGTATATCTTTTTAATATCTCAAACTTTCAACATCATCTTGACATCGGCCAAGGGTGAGATTTATTATTTAATGTTATCCAAAGAAAAATAAAAAACTAGAACAATAATAAATCATAAGCTAATCAGGAACCAATAAGATAAGAGGATGTGCAAATATGAAATTGTTTTGATATTACAGTCAGGTGACAGGGGCAGATCCAGGAAAGTCATAGTTTCCTTGAAAATATTTTTGGGGGCGAAAATATTTTTTGGGGGGTTCAAAATATTTTTTGGGAGGGCGAAAATAATTTTTCACATATATATATATATATACTAAAAAGATTTTTGTTGGGGGCGGTAACTCCTTGGGTCTCTACTACGGTCCGCCCTGTGGAATTTTTAATTTCTATTTTGAATTACATCTAAAGAAAGGATATATTCATACACTTGTAAGTATATAAATGCATAGAAAGCAATAAGTAGTGGAAAATATAGCTTTTCGTCCTTGCAAGTTTCTCATAGTAGATTCATATGATAAGCAAAAACTCCTAATTCTTTCTTTATCTTTACTGCAACTCATTGATACTGAATGGCACGCAACTCATTCAGAGTGGGGTGTAACACATTGAATGTGGCCTTTAGGAACAATGGCGGTCGTTGCATGCCCCGCCTCCAAGCTGCATCTCATCAAAACTGGACAGCAGGTGATCGAGTTTGGGCTGCAACTCAACGACTCCAGAAGGCGACTCAGAGATGATATTTCGAATGACTCTCAGTCTAGGAACCCGTTTCCATTTGATTTGACAGACAACAAAATCTTTCAATGATGTCTGGATTCAAAAGACACAAAACAATAAATATAAATGCACAATTGTAAAGTTAAATTACATTCATATGATCCATTCAATAGCCTAGGACTGACATAAATGCAAAATTGAATTGGAAATCAAACTTACTTCGAGCTTGGCTTTGATCTCCTCAGTGAGGGAGTATTCTGTCATCATATATGCCCCATCATGTTGTGGTAAATTTTCATTTCGGTATCTCAAGATTCGCTTGTATCCGATAAGTTGAGACGGATCTTTGATATTGAATCTGTAAATAGGTTCACCTTTGCCTCGAGTACTCCATCTCCCTTCTCTGATAGGGGAACTACTCTTTTTCGAAAGGCGTTTATTAGGTGGTGTAAAGAAGTACAAAGTTCTTTCTCTTGATATCTGGAAAATCTGCCATGGTTCTATTCCGCAGCTCACATCCTTCAACTTTATGGGACCTGTTGGAGGAACTGGTTTCCCATGGACAAAAGACATAAGAAAGTCTACTAAGTGCACATCTGATGGCCGAAATCTGCAGCCTTCCGGTATGCGACCTGGAATCTTTTGTAGCCGTTGCATGGCTGTAGAGAGAGAACGAAAAATAAATATAAACACTTCTGAATGATATAGAACCTCTGGCTAGAGGCAAGATATGTTGCTCATTTAAAATTTGAAATGATATACAGAGTAAAGACCTAGTTTATGATAAAACTAAAACGCAGTGCTATTCATTTGACCAAAAGCATAACTACTAAAATAGTGTTTCATAATTCTACTCATATATTTATATGCAATGGGAATTCTGCAAAACAAAAAAGTAACATAATCAAAAAACAAAATAAGATTGTAAGCCAAATGAAAAAACGAGAGCAGTTTGCATATACCGAGTAGAATAATTGAGGCAATGAGCTTTAACAAGTAATACGAATTAACAAAGACACTATGGTGCTAAAAAGCATATTCCCAGATTAAAAAGTTTAACAAAACTTCTGATTTTCAGAATATATAATCGAAATAAAAATAAAAATTGCATTTTGCTAAAACTTCACAGTATGGAACAAGCATTATATTCAGGGGGCAGAGAATTAAAGGAAGGAATTCTGCAATGCCAATTTATAGCGATCTCTCACGGTTCTGATCTCTGCCAATTGCTGGAAGGAGCCTAAATCGGGCCAAATTGGCCAATCAATGCTTCTACAGAACGAAAGGTTTCGACTTTCGAATGCTAAGCTTATACTTTTACATACAATCCATCACCCTTCACGCCACAATAAGGGTTTAGTTATTTTTTTACAAAACCACAAACTAGGAATTAAATAGTCAACTAAAACTGAGAATCTCACAATATATGAGATTCAACTAAAAATCGAAATAAGTTATAAATATAATGTGAGAAGTAAATGGCGTATGATCAAAATGGCGTATGATCAAAACAATATAGTGAAGACATACTTAATTCGGAGGCTGGAACTGCGAAGTCCGGAATCGAAGAAGCAATGGCGTGGGAGGAGCCGAAGAGATTGGGAAAGCCGTGAAATCTGGAAACTTGCGTTACACGTAGCGACGTATTTATAAGGCAGTTTTGACCGCCTCGAGTCTTGGCTGTGTATTCTCGCATAATGAAATAATTAAGTACGGCATAACATGTGGCTAAAAATATGATAAATTGATACTATCCTCCGTTCTTTAATTCTTGTAACAGTTTGACTTTCACGTTTGCCAACACATAACTTTGACTGTAATTATATTTAATCATGTATTAGTAAACATTATAAAAGTTTGATATTTTGGAAATTCACATTGATAGGAATTTAATACATTTTATACGTAATAGTTTGATTATGTATATTAGTAGAAAATCGTGGTCAAAGTAAGATCTGTGAATAGTGCAAAAATCACAATGTTGAAAGAATTAAAGAACGGAGGAAGTATGTACTATATAATGGAAAGACCAATTAATTTGTCAAGGTCACAATATGTGTTTGAAATAATTACATACGGTATATAATCTATATATTTGGCTAAAATAATGTTGTTTATATAACCATAAATTAAATCAATGAAAGATTTCCCAAAATAGGAGTAAATGAAGTTTGAAATTCCAAAATAGGACTACGATGCTTTTATTCCTGAAATAGGGCAGTCATCGTGTAGGCGTGATTGTCAAATAGGTGCAGTACAATGCATTTAACATGACAGTATTTATTATAATTAATAGTAGTACTTTTTAATTATGACAGTATTTTTCATACATGACAGTAAAAACTCCTATTTCGGAAAGAAAAACATAGTAGTCTGTTAGGAAATAGCATTAATATAAATCTTGTATATATGGATGCATTGATATTGTGTATTATTTCCTTCCTTTTGTATTTATGGCAAGGTCCATATTTGTGTATATGACTCTTGTATAATTATAAAATTAATGCATTGTTAACCACCCTGATTCACGGGTGATATTATTCACATGGTATCAGAGACAAGTTTACTCATAACTATACCGTCATTTTCTCCCCCCTTCTTCTAAAATGGTGGACACCGGTGACTCTCTTCCCTATGCTACCCTCATACATATGTTAACCCTCAAACTATCCCCCACAAATTACCTCTTATGGAGAACACAGGTAGAGACCTTTCTCAAAAGTCAAGGGCTTTTTGGTTTTCTGGATGGTACTCATCCCAAGCCATCAGTTTCGTCCTCCGCTGATCGCGATGCAGTGCAGCTTCAACAAACGTGGGTCACTCAAGATCAACGACTTCACAGTCTTCTGCTTTCTTCCCTCACTGAAGAATCTATGGCTCATACCCTTGGCTGCAAATCCACTGCTGCTATTTAGTCTGCTCTCGAAAAAGTTTACTTGCTCCAGTCCAAATCACACGAAATTCAGCTTAAGGATGAATTGCAGAATCTCCGTCGTGGTTCCTCCTCTGTCGCAGAATTCAGCGATACCTTCACCCACTTATGCCATCAATTAGTGGCCATTTACTGTGTTATCTCGGACACAGACAAACTCCATTGGTACTTAGGTATTTGGGCACTGCTTTCTCTAATTTCTCTCTCCATCATATCCGTCAGCAAGCCACTTTGCTTCTTGGTGATGTTATATATGAAGCGAAGAGCTACGCCCTCTTTCAAAAATCTCTAGAAGAATCTCCCACGTCATGTGTTGTTGCCTTTGCTGCCTCTTCCACGTCATGTTATATATGAAGCGAAGAGAAACGTTTGACCGAAGCACCAGTGCTTGCCTTGCCCGTGCAAGGGTTAGGGTATGACATCTACAGCGATGCTAGCATTCAGGGACTGGGATGTGTACTGATGCAATCAGGGAAGGTAATTGCTTATGCTTCTCGGCAGTTGAGGAAGCATGAAGTAAACTACCCCACACATGATCTGGAGCTAGGTGCTGTGGTATTTGCATTGAAAATTTGGAGGCACTACCTCTACGGGGAGTTGTGTCACATTTACACCGACCACAAGAGCCTGAAGTATGTGTTCACTCAGAAAGAGTTGAACATGAGACAGAGGAGATGGATGGAGTTGATTAAGGATTACAACTTGATCATTGACTATCATCCAGGCAAGGCTAATGTTGTAGCTGATGCACTGAGCAGGAAGAGCTCATCATCAGGGGTTTTACTCACATGCTTACGGGCACTGAGGGCACGCGTGGAGGTATCCACGGGTGGGGCGCTATTGGCCAGATTTGAGGTGAGACCCACCTTATTAGATGAAATCAGAACATGTCAAGGCAATGACGAGGAATTTCAGAAAATCCGGGAACGGATGCTTGTGGGGCCCGTCGAGGGTTTCCGTGAGAGGGAAGATGGACTTCTACTATTCAAGGAACGAGTGTGTGTACCCTCGGATGAGGAGCTCCGAAAATCTATCCTTGAGGAGGCTCACTCATCTGCGTATGCCATGCACCCGGGCGGTACAAAGATGTACCGGGACTTGAAGGAAAGCTACTGGTGGTCGGGGATGAAGAGAGAAATTGCAGAATACGTGAGCCGTTGCCTTACTTGTCAACAGGTTAAGGCAGAGCACCAACACCCGGCAGGGTTACTACAACCACTTACCATTCCAGAATGGAAGTGGGAGCATGTCACCATGGACTTCGTGGTGGGTCTACCACGGACGGTTAGGAACTACGACGCGGTATGGGTGGTAGTCGATAGGCTGACCAAGAGCGCTCATTTCCTACCTATCAACACTACCTATACGCTCGAGCGGTTGGCCAAATTGTACACAGATGAGATTGTGAGATTGCATGGGGTTCCGGTTACTATAGTATCGGATAGGGACCCACGGTTCACATCACGGTTTTGGCCTAAGTTCCAGGAATCCATGGGTACGAAATTGAGGTTTAGCATCGCGTTTCATCCTCAAACGGATGGGCAATCTGAACGGGTGATTCAGATCTTGGAGGACATGTTAAGAGCATGTGCCTTGGAGTTCCAGGGGAGCTGGGACAATCAGTTGGCTTTAGTAGAATTCGCCTATAACAACAATTATCAGGCAAGTATAGGCATGCCCCCATACGAAGCATTGTATGGGAGGAAATGCAGGACATCATTGTGTTGGGACGAGGTCGGCGAGGCTAAGCTTGAGGGCACCGAGTTAGTCGAGATCACTAAGGAGAAGATAAAGGTCATACAGGATAGGCTCAAGGATGCCCAAGACCGACAGAAGAGCTATGCTGATAAACGTCGAAGGACGTTGGAGTTTGAGGTTGGTGACGAGGTATTTCTGAGGGTATCCCCTTGGAAAGGGATCATCAGGTTCCTCAGTCGGGGTAAGCTTAACCCACGTTACATAGGCCCGTTCAAAATCCTTGAAAGGATTGGGGTTGTAGCTTACCGACTTCAGTTGACTCCAGAGTTAGAAAAGATTCATAATGTATTTCATGTTTCTATGCTCAAGAAGTATGTGCGGGACCCGTCACATATTCTTGAGAAACCACCGGTAGAAATCCGAGAGGACCTACATTATACGGTACAGCCGGTAAAGATCATAGACCGACAGGTAAAGAGGCTAAGGAGCAAAGAGGTGCCGATGGTCAAGGTACTTTGGAAGAGTGATCGTGTCGAGGAGCAAACGTGGGAAGTGGAGACCCTAATGAGGGAACAATATCCATTTCTGTTTGATTAGACACATGGATTTCGGGGACGAAATCCCAAATAAGGGGGGTAGAACTTGTAACACCGCCCCCGAGTATTTGTACTGTACCAAATTATGTATTGAACCTTGAGAAATGTATAAAAGCATTTTTTACGTGATTGTAAATTTTTATCATTTCTATTACGTGAATAGTAAAATTCACGTGGGGCCCACACCGGATGTGGGGCCGCCCAATATTATCGGGACCACATATTATATTAATCTTGGACTAGATAATATGTATATGGTGGTGGATATCCTAATTGGGCCATGACAATGGCACAAGGGTGACCGGTTGGTCAAACGGGCTAAATTATCGGTATCGACAATTTATCAGATAACAGCCCAAAAAGGGATTCCGAGAACCTATAAATTAAAGTTGGGGATTTCATAATGATTCTAAGGCCCAATAAGGATTGGGAACGAGTGTTATATTTTATTTGACCCGATAAAATAAAATATACTTAAAACAGTCCGGGAAATACAACTTTCGGGGGCGAGTGTACACTTGGGGACTTAAAGGGATGACCTCCCACATGAGTGGGGGCCACCCCACGGATTTGGTGCTGCCAATGACAAGGGGAGCCGCACATAACCTGCAGGAGTAAGGAGAAATTGATTGAGAGACCAATCAATGGGGAGGTGGACCTCACCTTTGACATTATTTTGGAGAAATGCCAAAGAGGCATTCTCAATCATCAACCTAACCCTCCAGCTCGTCCAACCCATCCATCCTTGAGATAGAATCTCTGCAAACACCTCACAACATCCACCATTCACGAACTGGAGCTAAGGAGGAAGAAGGAGGGGAAAAGAGAAGAGAAAAGTTGGTTTTCGGAGAGGGAAACTTGTGTTTAGCAAGGTAAGGACTCCATTAATCCAATTTCTGGTTCTTCAATACTCTTTTATGATTATTCAATCATATTTCACACCCTAGTAATGTTCTACACGTTGGGATGTGTAGAAAGAGGGGTTGGAAGGTAGTTCTAAGTCCAAGAACGGACTTAGAAGCCAAAGTGACCGGTTCGCCGGAAAATAACCTTTTGAGGTTATATGTATTGCTATGGGTTTTATGATGATAAAACCTTGTTAGTAACTTGCCTAAGGTATTCAAGGAACTTTCACGGAGTTGAAAAGGTCGCCGGAGTTGTCGCCGGAATTCGTTGAAGTTCGCCGGAGTTTCGTCGGAGCTAAATCGGGAAGGCTAGAACTTCATAAGCTTCATTAAGGTGAGAAGACGGCTTTATGCTTTATAACTTTTGCGTGAGGCATGAGATTACCTAAAGTAATCAGGAATATGTTTTGTGGAATGATTAAAGATAACCAAGTGTGTGTTTATGCCATGATTATACACAAAACATAGTTAAAAAGCATGTTATGTAGGTTTGGTGATTAGAAATGTGATAACATATTTTGTGCGATGATCCAGGG